GACGGACCACCATCAGTCACTTTGTGACAGCTAGATTGGCCCCTTCACGCCAACAGGGAAACATCACAGTGTGGAAAACCAACGCCTGGTTTATCCACTTCAGAAACTCTCCAGATGGAAGTTTTATTCTGAAACCTGGGTTCCAGTCGAGGTTTTGCCTTCTTCCACGGCTGACGTGGACCTAAAGGAGTCTAAAACACACCTTGAGGTCCCCTGTTCGACGGTCTAAAGACAGATTCTCCAGCAGCGTCCCCACCTACCAGACAGGTGACAGAACATCATCTCAAGGTAAAAGCTGGCTGTGTGTGACGTCGAGGTCTGACCAAAGCTGAGCACAGAACGATTTGCCTTTCTGGTTAAACCCACATTATTTAAGATAAAGTATAAGAAAGCTAACATCTTTCTTCCTCCTTTCTCTTAAACTCTTCCTTGCCAACCCTAAGATAAACAGCCTCAAATGTCTGGTATTTAACATCTAATCTGACGTTTGTGTTTCTATTTAAGTGTGGTTAACAGTTAAGAAGTTAAAAGCTTGTTATTGTTGGTCCCAAAACTTTTATAGGAAATTAATTGTTCACAATCAAGTGTACTCTAGTGATGATTTGTAAAATAAATGATCGCATATTATGGTCCAAATCAACATTCACTGACTCAGAGTTACTTCTTGTGTCCATTCATTTTGCACTAGAGGGATGTTTACCCAAAATAAAAAGTGATCCCTTGCTAATTAAATAATTCYTATAACCTTGTTATAAGAAGTGTAAGCTGAACCCTTGATGACGCACAGAGAGACAAATGTTTTTCAGAGCAAATGCCCTCACTTCTGATCTTGGATCTTTAGAATCTGCTGGTGCAGGATTATTATGGGATGCAGGTGTGCTTCACACAGACGTGCTACGACAGGTTTGACGGCACATCTGTAAACCGTCTCTTTTGTGAATCATGAATGTCAAAAATAAAGCCCAATGATTGCAACACCTGCAATCACAAAGGACGGAGTAAAAGTAACCGTTGACTTGTTTCATTCAAACAGAAACTTGACTCAGGTCAAATTCCTGCTCAGGACAAGAAACAAGGATTGCAAGTAGAAAAAAACAAACACTGCTCTATGGTATAAAATCTTGAGGTATGTGTAATTAGTATAAGGTTTTGTATTGATGAGTCAGTGATGAGCTGCTACTTGAAAAAAATTGCAGTCAGAAAATCATGACAGTTTGAGTTCCTGGAGGATTTTCTTACTCTGAAGAGAATTCTGAATTTTGAGAAAGTGCATTTGGAAATACAAAGTGATTATAGGAAGTGCCTAAGACTAGAATATTCTGCACAACAGGGATTCTCTTCTATAAGTTATTATTATATTAAAATACTAAAGATGCAGGATTTGATTATGTGAGCTTGAAAGCTCGACTTGTGAAATGATAGAATGAGATTACTGTAAATGAGATCGAGTTAGACGAGGTGAAAAAGTTAGCAGTTCAGCTGAGAGATAGGAGGAAAATTTGTGATGACATGAAATAATGAGATAAGACAAACCAAATGAGAGGATAAACTGTACAAATGAGACAAAATGATAAAACTAAACAATGACTCAAAATAAGAAAAAATAAACTAGGATGAGTTGAGATGAGCTGACAGTAGGGTGAGATGAAAACAGAAAAGATAATTAGATGACACGAGATGAGACGCGATAATAAAAATGAGAAGATAAGATTATGCAGATGAAAGGATAAGAAAATATAAAATGATTTAAAAAATGAGACAGGGTGATCTGACGCGAGGAGACAATAAGGTGAAATGAGATGAAGAGAGATGACACAAGATGAGAAGAGAGATAAATCTGATCTTGATCAAATGAGAATACACAACACAAGACAAAATAAAAGACTTCACACTTTGAAGTCTGCTGAATAGACATTTTAATAACAAGTTTAAAATAAAGGTTATTAAACTCTGCTGTTGGCGACATGGATRATAAATATTTAGAGCTATTCTCACGTGTTTGTTGATCATTGCGAAATGTAACTTAGCGTGCAAGCAAACAGTATAATTACTGTGGAGGGGGGAGGGGGAATCACTTTGCCCTGGAGGTTATTTTTAACATAGCAAAACACAACAGAGAGGGCATTGAGATAAAAAGCCAAAAGCCAGTGATGCAGTGGAAATCTAATCTGACTGTTCAGACTTGATTTATTTTGTTCCCACGTCGAGGCCTTTTGAAAYTCTGCAATCAAAAGATTTCTGTTGTGATTCTTCGCTAACTGAGGCAGTGAGTGAGCCATGAAGACGTCCAGAGGTTTATTACTCTCTTGACATGTTTGCATTGTTAAATTAATATTGAAGGATTTGAGTTGTATTATTTAATAATCCCTTTCCATTTGGTTTCACTAACCTGGCTCCAGTATAAAAAAGCCTTTTTTCTTTATGAGTTCACAAACCTGATGACACAAGGTCATGTCAGGCTAAAAAAAACAAACATTTCTGTAGATGCTGTGAAACTTTGGAGCTGCTGGTGGTGGTATGATGAATGAGCTGATTGATAAATGAAGGTGATTCACCTCATGATAATCCATGGCAATATAGTTATTTGTAATTGTGTTCATTTTTCTGCACCTAACTTGTTCCACAATTTTTGTGCTATTTCAGCTCGTRTCAAAACGTTCAGCTTATTAATGTCATGGCTTTTGGTATTTCAGCAACTTATGATGATCTGGCATCCTTCACTGAAGGCGACTTATGACCTTTATGGTCAAAACTCTTCTATTGCTAGTGACCATTGTGGGCACAACTCCTACGGTCTCATCCAACCAGGCCCAACCCTGCTCAGTTTCTGAGATCAGAGCAGATCTGACGTGTTCAGGGTGGTATGGCAGCAACTCTCTTTTTTAAGCTGTTTATCTATTTCTGCCATTTATTTCTGATTGAAAACTGAACGGTATTAACATCCTGAAACCTTGAGAAAATTGTAAATCTTTTTTACCTTTTGTTCTGGTTCTGTTTTTTTGTCTTCTTTATCTGCCTTTTCATTCTGCTCCTTTGTTATTTTTTTCTGCTAATTTAGCTTTTTTATGCTTGTTTTTTAAGCTTATTCCTGCTGAGTTTAGCCATTTTCCATGCTACTTTGTGGTTATTTCCAGTTAATTGTAGCTGCTAAATTCACCTTTTTGTGATAATTTCAGCTTCTCACTGCATAATCCAACATTAGTGCTAATTTCAGTGACTTTTTTGCTATTTTCGGCTCATTTCGGCCATTTTAGCTTTTTTACAACAAATTTTAACTTTTCTTTTCTCCTCATAATTGTTTCTTGTATTGCTGTGAAACATTTTTAGCTTCTTTAGCAGCTTTCGGGAAAAGTTTTTCAGTATCAAACATGCACRTTGCTTTTTCGCAGGAAATAGAAAATAACATTTCTATTTGTGTCCGATATTACAGTTGACATAAGAATTAAATTGCAATACATGGGGGCGGCTGTGGAGGAGTGGTTAGGGGAGTCATCCAGTAAGTGGAGGGTTGCCGGTTCAATCTACAGCTGTCTAAGTCATGTTTTTGGGYAAGACGCCTCACTTCACCTTGCCTACTGATGGTGGGCAGATGGTCCGGTGGCCCCGGTGCATGGCAGCCTCACCTCAGTCAGTGTGCCCCCAGGGCAGCTGTGGCTACAATGTAGCTTACCACCAGAATGTGTGTGAATGGGTGAATGACTGAAATGTAAAGTGCTTTGGGGTCCAATTGGGCTTTATAAAGCACTAACTTCAGGCCATATTTGTGTACTAAGACTGTCCAAAAACATATTTTAAAAAATTTACTTTTTTCATGTAATGCTGACGGGAAGAGGTTTTGAAAACAGACAACTGCCAAACTCAGGGAGGTGTGCATCTGCTGCCGTTGGATGAGAAACAGTTCAGTCACTCATGTCTGTCTGGCACAAACACCAGCTGTCTGTCATCAAACACAAAGCAGCAAACGAAAGATTACAATTAAACATGTTGGTACCCAGC